TGAATTTACCATGACATTTAACACATGCGAGTGCATTTGCTCGATGTTCAATTATCTTGTTACAGACACCGCCAGGTGATTGTTTCGGCATTATGGAAAATCCGAGACTAAGATAGCGCCTAATTGTGGAGCACAAAGCGTTAGTAAGATCTCCGAAATCAGACGGAGATAACACAAGTATGTATGGTTGGAATATTCAGAATCAGCAATTAAACTAAATACTATTGTAATTTCCACGAAATAATGACAATACACGGAGTAATCTAACAAGAAACAATCCGGTTAACACAGACAGGAAAAAACAACCGGAGGCCGCTGAACGCGGTCAATTATGTGCGACACAATGTTGTGGACTAAGAAAAGGAGGGGGCTACCGCGGATGGAAAGGTTGAATAAACGTAGAATAAAATAACCGGACGGTGGTGCGGTTTTGCAGATATGGTCATAAGCAAATCGGCAGATGTTGCCGTTCTAGAGGACAGGGAAAGCAAGAGAAAAAACGTTGAGACCAGTCCATAGGTTGTGTGCTTATGGTGCTTCCCGGATGTCTAGGCCGAGGAAGTGGCTTGGCTAACGAGACTCTACGCAGAGTCTTGAGTCACGGAATTAACAGCATTTGATCCCAAAAGATTATATCATATGAGATACAAGATATCTCTGCTTCGCATTAGTTTAGCGAAAACTCACCAGATTCGGTGCGAGGAAACGATCAGATATGAGGCACAACATGTCTCCTCGACATCACGTGAAAATGGAAGTCTCGAGATATCCATAACACGAAAACCGAACGCGAAAACCAAGTACGAAAGAATAAGCGAGGTCCCTAAAGAACAAGTGCTCGTACCCAGGCCATTAAAAACGGACAAAAATGAAGAGATTCCAATATGATCCCCGACTATACATAAAGAAGTGTGATAAGACCGATGAACTTGGGGTTGCGCACCAAGTAAGAAAGTAACTGTCCATATCCAACCTAGAGCCCGTCTGGGAAATGTCTACCGATTTTCATTGACACACCGTAAATTGCCGCACATTGCACGCCCTGAGAAAAACATCGAGGAGTTCTAACGGCAATCCAGCCATCCAATTGGATCTCACACGATGCATCGACACACAATCGCGGCTCTGTCTACTACAAATTGCACTGAGCTGCATGTTTCTCCGCGACGAGGCGCAAACTGTCCACACATGAACGATCGATACATCCTGGTCTGTGTTTGAGGTTAAATGTTTCGTGGAAAACTGGATGCCTGTGGGCTCTGTACTGACCGATGTTTAGTCGCATTTCTGAAGTAACCGTTACGTACAGGGTCTACTGTGGTAAAAATTGGACATGGCCTTGTCGGACGAACGTACACGTGATGCACAACTGCCGCACACCGGAGCAATAAGTTTTTGATGTGCCCATATTTGTATCAATGTTAAAACACAGTTATGGCGGGCAAGCCGGTAGACTGAAAACAAGCACAAACACATGCAGTCTGTAGTTTGATAGTATATGACCAGTGCAGACGAAAGCCGTGTTGCTTCAACACAATTATAATTTCTATCATCTTTGAGACCAACGAGGGTTGGATCACAGGACGAGAAGTTTCGAGCTCTGAACGGTGAGCACTCTTAAACAATGAAGTAATGATACCGCATTAGGGGTTAGCAATGTTAAGTCCATTGCGCACCAAGCAGCAAAAGGGACACCGGTTCAAGCTTATGGTAGCGGATTTGAAGCGAGTCGTCCTCCAACTTCGAACGGAAAGTACATTCAGTACTTCCCCCTAATGCGGTATCATTACTCCATTGTTTAAGAGTGCTCACCGTTCAGAGCTCGAAACTTCTCATCCTGTGATTCAACCCTCGTTGGTCTCAAAGATGATAGAAATTATAATTGCGTTGAAGCAACACGGCTTTCGTCTGCACTGGTCATATACTATCAAACTACAGACTGCATGGGTTAGGCGTGTAGTAGAATCAAACATCATCTACGTACAGGTTGTATTGGCTAAGGCAGCTGCTAGTCACATTCAAATTATCCTGTTCTACATATCGGTTTGTATCTGGAACCATCAAGCAAACTCATTATCTCTGGTAGATTCATTAGCGATGATCGGGAACTACCAGCAGCCTGAACCAGGAAGTTCAAGAACCAGGAACAAGAATCTATTGCACGCATCTCCCCATACAGACGCGTAAGTCCACATAGTTAGATTTAGACTGGCAAACCACCCGAGAATAATTGATGCGGACATATCGAAGTACTGCAGAATCCAAGTGGACACTTTCAACATCTTCCATAACATCTATGTCCGTCTAACCCTGCTTCTGTGAATATATGTATCATCGATTGCACATGACTTGTAGACTAAATCGGTCTCCGGATGACTGGTACCAATGATGGGTCTGGACGAACTTAATTCTTTGGGCATTGCCTCCTTCAGCAGTCTACGCCACTCCGAACGCCGTGCTAATTTGGGGGTATCCGATGCGTAGATAAGAACCTACATATTGGCGCCGTTGGTGCAATTGTTCTCAACTCCACAACGGAGCCATAAGTAGGATATTATTGTGGTCTCCAATATGTCGCTTATAGACAAATTAGTTATCGGTCGTGGTGCTATTGCACACCGAGCTTCTTGCTCTATGGAGAACCAAGCTTACCTCAAGTGGCACTTCAGTCTGCAGACGAGGTGGAGACAGTTATTTTGTTAGACCACCACTTCCGTGATTCGATCTGGTCGGAACACAGTTGGTTTTTGGCAAGAAACCCTCTGGTGCTTCACTTCAGTGTCTGTTGAAGTTAGAATCGCTAACGTTGGTTAGGTCATGTACTCCGTACACCAGTTAACCGCCTTCCTCGGCGAGCGTTATACGCCGTCGCTGCCCCAAGTTGGGCGAAACCACGAGGTGTTCAATCGATGACGTGGCATAAGGGTATGAAGCAATTGATCGATAGACTTGGTCAGGCAGGTACGTGCCGTCTTCGTGGATGGGGGCCTCGTGCTAGTCCAAACCAATGGTTAGAGACTCTATCGGACGTGGCGCATTGTCGGAGTCAGTGCTGCCCCTGCATTCGTTCTCTTGCGTTTAACTGTTCATACTTCAATGCGATTAGCTTCATGCACCTCGTTCTTGCTTCCATTCTGCTAATACCATATTTAAGTCTAACCGCATTTACTTATCATTGTTCCTTATTGCCAATCTGGCGACGCGAGTCGTGGCAACTGCATCCACGGCACTTTGGTGCCCGGATCATGGTTTATCAACTGAACTGAACTGAAACAACCAGGTAATCTTTAAGTATCGTAGGTTATTTAGGAAAGAGAAATTCCAGACAGAAATTGGCTCACTTAACAGGAAAGCAAAATACTAAAAGCGAGAAAACACTCCTCTACCAAGTCGTTATAATTCCTAAAGTGAAAGGCCTAGTTGAAAGTGGTGCTTTTTTCCAACACTGGTTCTTTGGAAGCTTGTTTTCAGTCTACCGGCGTGCCCACCATAACTGTGTTTTAACATTGATACAAATACGGGCACATCGAAAACTTATTGCTCAGATGTGCGGCAGTTGTGCATCACGTGTACGTTCGTCCGACAAGGCCATGTCCAATTTTTACCACAGTAGGCCCTGTATGTAACGGTTACTTCAGTACTGCGACTGAACATCGGTCAGTACAGAGCCCACAGGCATCCAGTTTTCCACGAAACATTTGACCTCAAACACAGACCATGATGTATCGATCGTTCACGTGTGGACAGTTTGCGCCTCGCCGCGGAGAAACATGCAGCTCCGTGGAATTTGTAGTAGACAGAGCCGCGATTGTGTGTGTCGATGCATCGTGTGAGATCCAATTGGATAGCTGGATTGCTGTTAGAATTCCTCGGTGTTTTTCTCAGGGCGTGCAATGTGCGGTAATTTACGGTGTGTCAATGAAAATCGGTAGACATTTCTCAGACGGACAGTAGAAAGATCACACTCTAGTGTTACCGCCCCGTGCATCTACCTTGTTCATTTTACTAGCAGCAGCGAATACATCAGTCGAATTGAGAGGAGGCTGTCTACAAAAGTTTCAGTGCATATGCTGCGCAACATGATGGCGAGTGGTTTAAAGCTACCCACTAGTTCGATGGCCGACCACATACTTGGCTGCCCTGTGTTTGAAAAACCGCGTGAACTAAAATAATAAACCGACAGAGCGCCGGACGTCTGTTTCATTTTGTTGACGCTTCGATGAGTGGGCGGCTGTAACGCACTCTGCAAACAAGTTGATATCGTAGCGGTCTTGGTAAGTGGTGATCATGTCTCTCGAAGCGGAATGCCTGCAATTATCAGATGGTCTTAGCCATCAATTCACCAGTGACGTTACAGATCTATGTACTGTCGTTAGTCGCTTCTTTTTGTAGCTGTAAACGCGAATTTGGTACCTTGTACCACTTGAAGTTTTACTGAATTACGTACAGTACGTTTTCACATTGGTAACCAAATTTTCGATACATAGACCTACTCTTTTATCGTCCTAGTGATTGGTTTCGCTTATTAGTGAATATGTTGTATTGTCGTGTCTGCAATTACGAATACAGAACCGCGGTTCAACGGTACAAATTATGTGCCTATCACCCTAAGTTTTGCTGCCCAGTCCGTGCGTTCGTCAAGTGAATTTGTCTGAGTTGCCTACGCCGCTGTAACAGATAATCATCATCAACAGCAGTACATCAACAATTTGAACTGATGCTTCGGTTCCATACAACCATAATGACCTACGGAACGTAGAATAATAAGACAGAGAAGGGCGACTTACCGGAAAACATTCCATATGCGCTTACACAGAAGCTGTGATAAACACAAGCTGAAGCGGTGGCTGGTCGGCAGCTAGTTCTGCCACAACTATGTAAACGTAGCACTATGATGAACATTGTGCACTCAGTGTAAACGGCGTTAACCTATCTCGCTATTTTAGTTGTTCAATCAGGAACAAACACTGCGTACATAGACAGAGGTCTGATTACTCATTTAGCTTCAGCCACATCGTAAGAATGTCCGCGACTAACGGCCCCGTTATTCATTCATTATACACGTTAGTTTGAGGTAAAAGACACCTCAAGTATTGTGCGCATTCCACGTTTGCATGTGGATTGAAATTAGTTGAACGCCTATCAAAGCAAAGTAGGGGAAGGACAGAATTGGGGGGATTGAAAACGGGGGAGATAAAAGTGAAGTTGGAATGGGACTATAAAGGTGAAAAAGCGTTAGTGGGGGAATAAGAAGACGGGAAAGCTAGAACGGTAGCATCCAAACCCCCATTCACACTATTTGGTGCAGCGGATAGGGCGCCGTTAGTTATCCTCTGCGACGAACAGAGCATCAAGAAATGGTTTGAGGGTAAAGCCATCAGTAACTACATATTTCGAAAGTGAGAATGCGCGTAGAAGGACTGTAGAATGAAAGGCGTTGTTTATACACATTTCGAAAAAGGTGAGGACCATACATGGAATACTGGAACTTTTTACACCTTAGTTCATTTTCGGGGACCTTTCGGAGCTATCACTGGAAGAACTGTTAGATTCGTCTTCAGAACTGCTATCTGTAGTGGCAGAGGAGCATCGCGAATCAGTGCTGGTGTCATCGGAACCGCTTTCCTCGGATTTGTCGTCATCCGATTCAGAGGAATCGTCTTGGGAACTGTTGGAGGATCCACTACTCGATGAAGAGGAACTGCTGTGTCTAGAAGAAAGAAAACAAAAAGTACCGAAAGCGGCGTACTTGTTTGCAGTGGCAGAGCGCGGTCTTTTCTGCTGGATACTGTCTATTCTTTTACCAAGCTTCGAAGTGTAAGACTCCCTTTCAAGGTACTTTCTCTTCCCCTTGCACATATATGTCCAGTGACCTTTCTCCAGACATTTTTGACAAGTTACATTGGACTGATCGACCCTACTAAAAGGTTGAACACAAAATTTGTAATAGCGTAGATTTTTCTTTTTTAATGTAAGACGGGAAGTAGAAGAAGTTAGCAAAGGGCTCCCGACATATTTGATGGAAAAGTGCATGGTAAGCCAATCTGCTCATATACTCAGTACCATGAAAGGAGATATAATTGGGCTAGGCCGCCAAAAACGTATGGCCAATGAGCAACATGTGCTTACGCTGCGGACCAGGTGGAGTGAAAAGAAACCACTGTTGTTCGAACGTCCGATGCCACTCGTCTCGGGTTAGGAAGCTCTTGCAAATAAGACATACCTGAGAATATTAATGCGCAATAGGTATTCATCACAGAATTACAGTATGCTAAAGTCGAAAACACAAAGTGTTCTGAGCACGCGATGGGCTCAAACCGATACCGGAGGAAATACGGCCATATCCATGGATCGGTCATACTCATCACGGCTTTGTGAGTCAAACGATTGAGGTGTGAGACTGAGACTGTGAGACTGTATTTAAGAGCAAGTAGAAAGGTTTCTGTACAACTCTAACGAATTACGAAAAATCAAAATTTACTTGTGAATTATCAGCAGTTGTGTCTGGTCCGTTAATCGTTTATCCGTGTTCGGTTAGAAATTTGTACTAGCGTCATTATTTCCGGACATACAATGTCTTCTTTTGGCACTGTATGTGCATCGTTTCACAAAAGCACAGGTTTCCAAAATAATCGTCGATACGGGTTTTAAAACACTTCACAGAATCGGCCTCTATTAATCCTTCTGGTAGTGTATTCCATAAGTTTACGATTCTTCGTTCGATACAAAGCTGATGTGATACTTTGTTCATGCTGGGGACCCTGAGTTTGTAACGATGTCCTCGGATGTTACAGGGTTCTCGCAGGTGAAATATTGGCCGCAGTATGGGGAAGTGATTCAAGTGTAGTACTCGATGGGTCATAATAAGATCAATTCTTACTCGGCGATAGGATAGTGTGTAGAGTCCGAGCTTTTCACAACGTTTTTCATATGGAAGCTTTCGTAGACTTGGTATCATTCTAGTTGCGATATGCTGTATTTTCTCCAATTTTTCAGTTTCCCATTGGGTTATCGGATGGTAAGCTGGGGCACCGTATTCGAGGATTGGTCTAATGAGCGAGGTGAATAGACGAGGGACGGTTTCTTCGGACCATGTGGAGAAACTGCGTCGTAATGCCCAGAGCATACGAAGTCCCGCACGGTACAATTTCTCTGTATTTTCTAGTGATCTTAAATCATGTCGTGAGAGAACTCCTAAGTCTCTGACCGATGTGTTGGGATGGAGCAACTGGCCGTCCAAGGTGTATGATCGAGTGGCTGGACGTCTGGTGATACTGATGAACTCCGACTTGCTTGCGTTAAGAGGGAGTTGCATTTCAGTGGACTACGTTGACAGTCGCTCTAAGTCATGCTGGAGGCGAGCGCAGTCGTCCTGGTTTTCAATGATCCTCCAGATTTTCAAATCATCTGCAAACAGGACACATGGTGACTGGAGCTGCTGCGGAAGATCGTTGATATGAATAAGAAATAATGCTGGCCCAAGTACAGTTCCTTGAGGCACGCCACTGGTCGATGGGAACTATTCTGTCAGATAGTCATTGACCTGTACTCTAAACCTTCGTCCCACAATAAACTCTTGTATCCACTGAAGTAACGTGCCACCGATTCCGTATGTCCTCAGTTTACGAAGGAGTACCTCGTGGTTCACTCTGTCAAACGCCTTACTAAAGTCGATGTACACCACGTCAACATCCTTCTGTTCATTGAGAGCTCGAACCCACTGGTGGTTTGCGTACATCAAGTTGGTGATGCAGGATCGCCCTTTCGTAAAGCCGTGTTGCGCTGACGTCAATATGTCCATCGATTCGAAGAACAACAGCAGACACTTTTTCACAACCTTCTCGAGAACTTTGGATAATACCGAAGTCAAACAGATCGGTCTATAGTTCTCTATTTTACTCGGATCACCACCTTGGGAAGCGGTTTAACTATCGAGCATTTCCAGTCGTTCGGGACACATCCTTCAGAGAGCGATCTATTGAAAAGGTTTGTCACAACTGGTGAGATGATAATCGATAGGGACTTGAGTATTAGTGGGTGAAGTCCGTCTGGCCCTGGGGCTTTGCACCATTGAGGTTGACGAGTAGCTGATGTACTTCGACTGCATCACATTGTAGGCTGTCGAGCAAGACTTGCGCAACCTGTGCCGGTATTGGAACAGCCGCCGGTTTACTGGAAAATACAGTGAGGAAGTGCGTAGCCAGGGCGTCCGCGCGCTCTGCGCTTGAAATGAGTGTCTTCCCGTCTAAGCTCTCTAAGACCGGTAGGTCGTCTCCAGGTTTCAGTTGACGTTTCAAGTAGGCAAATATTCGCTTGGGTGCAGTTGTGGCCGAGGATGCTAGCTCCTCTTCGAACTGCCGGCGTTTCTTGATCTTTGCGGCGTTACATAAGTTACGCTGTTTCCTGTACACCGCGTAATCTTCATCACAACCCGAGCTGATGTATCTATCCTAAAGTTTGCGACATCGTCGCGCTAACTGTCTATATTCCCTATCAAACCAATGCGGTTTGACCGGTCCGATTTTTGGATACTTAAGGGGAACGAACCGAGTACAGAGCGAGTTAAGCTTCCCCTTTATTACTGACCACCACGCCTCAAGTGACGCATCATGTGGTAGTGTCCAATCAGTCTGACTTGCGGCTTGGACGAGTCCGTTGAAGTCCGTCTTCCAATAGTTGAATGTCGGCTTCTGTTGATTGTAATCTGGTAACAACAGTTCTAAGCTTGCTACAATAGAGCAGTGGTCACTGTTCGCCAGAGGTTCGATGACTCTGATCTCTTTTAGCTTTTGCTCGCAGCTCGTAAACATTAGGTCCAGACAAGATGCCGAGTACGGAGTTACGCGCGTCGGTTGAATGACATGTTGCGTTGCCCCGATTTCAATAGTCATTTTAGCGAATTGAGCCTCAACGTTGCCATGACCGGGAAGAAGTCGAACATCTGGCCAAATTATCTTAGGTAAATTTAGATCCCCCATCAGTAAGAACTGAGGGCGGCTCATGTGCTTCTGTACATGTGGTATCCAATCGCAGCAACGGTTTAATGGGCTCCGGTAGATAACCCCCACTATTAGTTCTGCGCGCCTGAGACGGACTGTGCACCACAATTGCTCGCATAAACTATCCTCGCTCCGATAGGTACTAATAAGTTTGCCAGATAGTGACGATTTTATGTACAACAGAACACCACCGTGAGCCTTTGATTTTCGGTCACATCGGAAACAAGAGTATCCTGACAACACGACTTCTTGGGGTATGATGACGGAGTTCAGCCATGTCTCTGCATGTCCTAAAATGTCCGACCGCTCCGAGACAGCGAAGCGGCACAGTTCGTCACGTTTGTTCATTAGGCTGCACACGTTGGCGAATGCGACACGGAGGTCCTGGGAGGTACTGCGGGACGTGCCTGGAGGTTGAGCAACCGGTTGATACGGGTTCGTACACCCTTTTTGATCACCCGAAAATTTACAACTTGTAAATCAGTCTCACCTTCCTCTGTACGGCGTTTGAGCTCAATGACCGCAGTCTTCAAACGATCCCTGTCCTCGGGTTCCAAATCTCGGCGGATGTGAACTTTTATGCCTTTCAGCCTTGACAGACGAGACAGTATGAGCTGCGGCATATTAGGATTTGCAAAGGTGATCCTCAGAGGTCGACATGACTGGTTAGTTTTCTGGCCAAGTCGGAGTACTTGTTTAATCGTCACACTGTCCTCGCCCACATCCAAGAGTCTATCGATGAGCCCCTAGAGAAACTCAACATCGTGATCATAACGTATCTGAGGGTTTTCATCTTTTGACTCCGGTACATGGAAGACCATGAGATTATGACGCCTCAGCGAAATCAGTGATGAACCTGTGGGAGCAGAACTAGAGGCGCTTAACTGATTGGGTAGTTGTTTATCAGCAGGTGACGTCTGAACTCGATTACGTGGGCCATTGCGCTTTTGAGTGGTCCATGGATCCTCGGTGTTCAGAAGTTCACAGACAGGCTCTGAGAAATTCACGGACCGATCAGTGAAGCGGCATTTCGTAGCTTCTGAGTCTGAGTCTTCCATCGGTGGGAAACATTGAACCTGGGGTTCGGCCGGGGTCGAAGACGCTGGTGGTGGTGCAGATCGCGAAGAGACAGTAGAAGGCGAGGTGACAGAGGTACTTTCACGAGGGCGTTTGATCCCACGTGGTGAACGGTTTGTTTCTATCTGAAAGAGAGATTTTTCCGTAGTTGTTTGCGGTCACTGCGTATTCTGATGTCTTGTACCGCGACATTTATCACATATAACTTGAAAAAACCGATGTCGGATGTCGAGCGAATTTCGAAACACGTCAACGGATAAGCCAATACACGAAATATGGAACAAAACATCACAGCTGAAGCATCGAAGTGCATGAGCCTTATTTCCCGCAACTTTCGAACACGAACCACAAGTAGCTTGAGATGGCATCACAAGCTAGAGCAAATCCAAGATGGCGGACAGAGATGGCAGTATGGCAAATCAGTGAGATCTCCGGAATTAGCCAAAGAATAGCTCCCAAATTTGCACCGCTTGGAAAATACGCCAAAAGAAGAATAATGGTGCACAATTCACACAGATAAAACGCTGCTAACACAGCAATCTGAGGCAAAAGTAGTATCCAGCACACGTTGATCCAAAAATCCGCGGCGTCCGTGGGTACAGCCAAATCGGTGTTTGCCAAATAAGGAATCCTTGATGGCTTAGAACAGTTTGTCGAAAACTAGAGGCAGGCACTCTCGAACGAAATCCGAAGCGCCCAACATGCCCGTCATTTTTATGACTCTTATCTTTCCAAATACTCCAATTATCATAATAAACACAGCCTAAACTAAACATGGAATTCACCTTATTTCCCCATGCTAGATAAGTTCAACCCTAAATTCCTCTTCAAAGAATACCGAGGA